AAGGGATCTCCTACAAATTTATTTTGATTTGGTAATATTTAATTGTAAAGGGTCTCCTAATAGTTTAATTGATTTTGCTAATTTTAGGTTGGAAGTTATCTCCTAAAAATTTAAATTATTGCAGTAATATTGGGTTGAAGTGCATCATCTTTCTTAAGGGATTGTCCCACAGGACTCTGCAAACTTACTGGGATCATGCAGACCAGTTAGAGATGAAATTTTTTGTGAGTGGACATATGTCAACTATCCACCACTTTCTTAATTTTAAAATTCCCATTTTTCCAGAGTCTCTTGATTCAAACAACTTTTTTGAGGATTGGCTTCAGGGCTGTAAGCCAAATGCCGTGGAAAGATGGCTCCTGAATTTAAAACAAGGCAAATAGGCCAGGCCTTTCTACTCTTGATTTCCCAACTAGCTGAGGAAAATGTATGGGGAAATTTGGGTTTTAAGTAGCTGATTGCATATTTGTCCCTTTCCTGTCGTAATAAAATGCCACCTTGGGATGTATTTTATTGAGGGGAGAGGGAGGAGGAGCAGCAAGGCTGGAGCTTGGGTGTGTTTTCCCCCTGTGTTTCCTGAGCCTCCCTCTCGTGTCTCTGGCAGCTGGAGAAGGAGTACGTGTGCCGCGTGGTGGGGGAGTTCCCGGAGCACCAGGTGGTCTGTGAGGAGCCCATCCTGGTGGTGTCCTACAAGGTGGGCGTGTGCCGCGTGGACGCCAAGGGGAAGCCATGCCAGACACTCTTCCAGCGGCTCAGCTACAACGGCAGCAGCAGCGTGGTGCGGTGCCTGCCCCGCACGGGCCGCACGCACCAGATCCGCGTGCACCTGCAGTTCCTGGGACACCCCATCCTCAACGACCCCATCTACAACATGGAGGCCTGGGGACCGGACAGGGGCAAGGGCGGCAGGATCGGCAAGACGGACGAGGAGCTGCTGAAGGCGCTGGTGGAGGAGCATCGCTCCAAACAGAGCCTGGAGGTCTTGGGTATCGGGGAGGAGGACTTGAACTCTGCTGGGGAAAGTAAAGACTGTGGGATTTCAGGTGACTGCACGAAGTCTGATCCTGTGAATGGGAGTTCCTGCCCTGCTGAGGACGAGAAGGATCCGGAGAGGAATGACCTAGCAGCTTGTCCACTGAACTCTGATACCAACCTGGAAACGCTTGATAAAGATAAAGAGCTCAGTTTGTGTGGGAACCAGGATGGGCAGGCAGGGGAGAAGGGCTGGGAAGAGAAGGACCCTTTGTGTGTGGAGTGCAGGATGAGCAGGCGGGACCCCTCTCCCAAGGAGCTGGTGATGTTCCTGCACGCCCTGCGCTACAAGGGCGCCGACTTTGAGTACTGCTCCAGCATGCCCGAGTGGGCCATGGAGGACTGGCAGGAGTGACCAGGACACCCAGCACCTGCAGGCCCTGCTGGTTGGGACAGCAGCATGCAGAGACCAAAGATTGACTTTGCATTGTGGCTGAGGTGAACAGAATGTGCCTTAAGCTGGGCTGGGAGGGATCAGTGGGGCTGGGGAATTATCCCGCTTCCCACAGGTGCTGTGAAGGATGAGCAGGGAAGCAAGGCTAAAACGGGAGTTTTATGTTGCCCTTCAGTGAACTGGCACTTGAGGGCAACAAGGAACGAACTCTGCTCGGCACAGGCAGCTTTGCCTTCACCTCAATGGATTCTGGATCAATTATCCACATGGATAATGAAGTGTATGCACTAAAAGTCAAAAACTGATTTTTCTTCCAGCCTGCTGTGTTCCTGTGTCTTACAGTAAGAGCTGCTGGATGTCATGTCATAAAAAAAACCTGTTTTTATTGTATTTTGTTGTCAGATTGATTTCAAAATGACAAGATTACTCCTGAGAACACTGTGAGGTAAAACCAGGACACTGTGATCTGTTTTGTGCCTGCTGTTTGTCCGCAAGATCCACTTGCCTTTGAAATCACCAACATTCATTCAAACAATTACTTAAGTTAGTAGTTCTGGGTGCTGCGGGTATTGGGCCTGGTTTTGGAGGTACTGTTCCCCAGATTTTGTCTTGAAGAGATTTTTTAATATCACTTCAGTGTGACAGTCAGCTTTCAAGAAAAACAAAAGCAGTTTTATGAAGCAGAAGACTTCTTTCAAAATAATTTTAGAAGTCTTCTTTTAAAGTAATTTTATATGAATGATTAATATCACCATAGTTCTTATTTTCATTAGTGTTTACACAGTAGATTCTTGGGTTCTGGGAGGGATTTTATATTAATTTTGGAAATCTTAGGTTGGCCAGCCCACAGGAATTATTTCCTTCCTCCTAAAATCACTTGATGCCACCAGGGTCTGGACATAACTGCCAAATCACAATAAACCATTGCTTGCCTCCAGTAGCCTACAGGAGCCAAGTGGTGTCTTTCTCTGCTGGATCATCCAGCTGATCTTGAATATTTCCATAAAAATTCACTCAGTTTGAGCTTTGCTCTTCCACATCCTGGCAGTGGTTTCGTGATTCTAATTTAATTCCAGGTATTTAGAGAGGTGATGCTAAGAATTCGCGTTATCCAAATTTTTGATGCATTGGAATACACCTTTCATGGAAATAAATGGAACTTGGGCACCTTTGGTGTATAAAAAAGGGTGGCTGGAGCTGTTAATGGATTTGGATGCAGGGGAATGGGGGTAGACTTAGGGATGACAGGTAAATTAGACTTTGGTGTGTCCAAAGTTATGCTGGGAGGTTTTTTGGTAAGAAATTTCTGTAACAAAAAAAGGTTCTGTCTGGGATTTTCCTGACTGACATTGGGGCCAAAGGCCCTGATGAGGAACTGGAGCTCAGCTGCTCACTGCTTTTTCCCCTTTTCCTGGAATAATGGCTGCAACTGCCAACTTTTAATTTCCTGGTCAAGAAACCCCTGGGCTTCTGTTTCCCAGATTCTTTGAACTATGAAGATTTAGGATTTATTTCACAAGGATACTACCTCTAATTTTATTTTATTTTATTTTAATTATTTTAATTTTTCATTTTATTTTTATTTTAGATTTTTATTTATTTATATTTATTTTATTTATTTATTTTAATATTTTATTTATTTTAATTTGTCAAAACTGTGTTTGATGTTTTGTTAGCTGGAAAAATGTTGCTCTTGGAGATTCCCTGTGATAAATTCCCATCTGAGATTGGGTCTGAGGTAAGTACTGTGTCCTGGTTGTTGGCATAAAGTTTTCCATACAAAATGTAGATCCTGGAAGAATTCTTTTCCTTAGTACACCTTTACTTGGACGTGCCTTGATAGTGGTGTGTCAGCTTTGGACTTGATCCTTGACAATCCTGTAATTCTGTCTTTATCAGGAGAATGTCTATCTCACTGTGCTAAAGCACTTTTCCATACAAATAAACCCTCCTGGCAAACTTCCCTGTGCCTTGGGCTGTCCCTGTGCAGGACTGGCTGGAATCAGCCCCTGAGCACTCACCTTCCACACAGTAACACTTGTCCAGTTGTACTTTACATTGTGTTTGGGAACCTTTTGTGATCTGGCCACTGCCCAGGACTGGGTATGATCTAATTTCCAGAAGGGTTTAAGTGTAGTTAAAATTTTGGCCGTGTGTGCTGGGAGGGCTCAGAGCTGTCACAGCAGAGCTGGGAGATGTCCCTCCTCCTGGAAGCTCTGAGTTTCACTAACTCCTACTTCCGGGCCTCTAATTCCAGATTTAAATTTTTTCTAAGTGAACCATGTATGGCTTAGGCAGAGAGGAAAAGTTTTCCTGTATCTTGTCAATACACTCATTTATGCTTTTTAAATTGCCATAACTTTATGGAAGACAAAGCAGTAATTATCTGAGGAGAACTTGATGGCATTTTCAGTGAGGGGCTGGGACCCTAAAGCCCACCCAGTCCCACTCCCCTACCATGGGCAGGGACACCTTCCACTATCTCAGCTTGTTCCAAGCCCTGTCCAAGCTGGTCTTGGACACTTCCAGGGATCCAGGGGCAGCCTCAGCTTCTCTGGGAAAACCTGTGCCAGGGGCTCCTCACCCTCCCATCTAAATCTCCTCCAGTTCAGAGCCATTCCCCCTTGTCCCAAGTCCATCTCTTGGAGTCCCTATAGGCGCTGCAAGGGGCTCGGAGGGTTCCCTGGAGCCTCCTCCTTTCCAGGCTGGACAATCCCAGCTCTCTCAGCCTTTCCTCATAGGACTGATCTTCCATCCCCCTAATTCTTACTCAGAGCTTTCATGAAAGACCCAGCCAGCCCTAATAGGACATTTTGCTGGGATCCCAGAGGAGGTGGAGATTAAAAGGGATTTGTTCCCAGTGTCACAGCTGGAAGCTCCACAGCAGAGCTGTGTTCTGAGGAAGGAGGTAAGTCAGGATACCCCATGGAGAGGCACCTCAGGAAGCTGGATACTGGGTGAGACCCTTCAGTCCCTCGGGACACTCTGTGCTGGCTGGGACCCCTAAGTTCCGTGGGACGCTATCCTGGGCGACCCCTCGATCCCTCATGACACTCCCTCCTGGCTGTGATACCTAGAATCTTTGGGACACTCCATCCTGCCTTGTCACCCTGAATCCCTCAGGATGCTCTGTCCTGTCCGTCCCGGGCACCCTCTCTGCTTTTCCTTCTCCCCATAAGGGCTGAAAGGAGAGGAGGGAGGGAGAGGTCCCCATGGAAGTGTTAGAAAAAAAAATTCTTTTTTGTGAGGGAAAAGTTTGACTTTCCGACGAGGATGGGATTCGAACCCACGCGTGCAGAGCACAATGGATTAGCAGTCCATCGCCTTAACCACTCGGCCACCTCGTCACGACAGTCGTTGCTTCACCGGACCTATAAGGAAGTGCGCCCACTGCCTCCATCATCTTCTCCCGCCCGCCGCTCCCTTGCGTGACGGCGCCGGTTACGCTGCCCTGCACGGGCACACTGCGGAGCGAAGCCTCCGTGCCATGACCCAGCACGCCGCGGAGCCGGTGCAGTACCGCTCCACCCCCGTCACCGCGGCTGCTGGCGTGCGGGCCCCGAGAGACACCGATATGGCAGCAGCGGGGCGACCCGCGGAGGCCGCCATGTTGTACGGCACAAGGGGGCGCCATGTTGTACGGCACAAGGGGACAGCCGTCCTGTACGGCGCCAATGTGTCGTCACGGCGCGGGGCGGGCGGTTGGATTTGAACGGGGCGGCGGCGGCCGGGGAGCGGGAACCGGGGCCGGGGACCCGGAAACCGGGATTCGGGAGCGGGGGGCCCCGAGCGGGAGGTAAGGGCGGCCGAGCGGTTCCCTCCGAGGAGAGGAGGCGCGGGAGCGGCGGCGGCCGTTGGCGGGGCCGGGCGGGCGCTGCGGGGAAGGAGCGCGGGAGAAGGCGGGAGGCGCTGCCCCGTGAGCGGCGGGATGGGAGCGGGGCTGAGGCGGTGCCGCCTGCGGTGGGCGCGGAGCGTGTGGGGAACCCCGCGATAAGGGTGGTAATTAATGTCTGAGGAACAGAGTTAATTAATGTGGTGTAATTAATGCAGAGGTGATTAATGCAGAGTTTGTGATCGATGAGTGATTGGCGCCTGGGCTGTGTGGGCTGTAAAGCGAGGGCGCGGGGACAAAAAGAGACGGAAAAAGAGATTATGTGGGTTTATCCTATGGGGAAAAGGCCGAGGAGGGGCGGGATGGGCGGCAGGGATGGACTGAAGTGTTCTGGAGCCTTTCCCGTGTTCGCAGAGTCAAACGGGAATAGAAAGGGGGGGTCTTCATCAGCACAGCGACTCAGCTCGCCCCTCAAGGATTGTAGCGATCTTTCAAGCAGGATTAGGGAAGAACAGTTAAGGAAGGTGGTTGAGAAGTGAATTTCAGATTAATATCCCCAATAGCAGAGTGATCAGGGCTTTTATAGCTCCAGGCTTATCTCCCACAGCGACCTTCCCTGTCCTTCCCTCTTTGTGTGTTCAGCCTGGCCGACGGTGGGTTTAGATGGGATATCGGGAAGGAATTGTTCCCTGCGTTGGGAAAATTAATTCATGAGGTTTAGGTCGAAAAAGGAGACAGAGGGGTCCTGTAGCTTTAGTCATGAATAAAGGGAGAGGCCATGGGCCATTTTCCATAAGGTCTCTCAAATTGCTGGGGGATGCAGCCTCTTTTTTATCCTAATTTACCCTTCTCCATAGGCTGAGGTACTTGAGAGATACAGACTTCCTGAATTGCCTAATACAGACCCTCTTCTAATGTGCCCCCCTGTCCTCTCCTTTTCTTTTATGTTTGTTCTTTTTCCCCGTGTCCAGGAATTTAGCAGCCCCTTGGAAAAGCAACAGTTTGTGTCAATAGTAACATTCTCCTGTTGCTTGACTCATCTCTAATTCTCTAGCTTAGGCAGACTCATAGTTTGTAAAAACACGTTCCTTTTATTTCTTTCAGGAGGGTTTTAAGAGAATTGAGCCATGCTCTTCTGGTTGTATCTAGAAAAGGAACAAAAAGCAACAGGCACAAGCTGAAATACCAGAAATTCAGTTTAGAGAGAGAGGGAAAATGTCTTGTATGTGTCAAAGCAAACATTGTCATGGATAAGGTTTGATCATTTATCTCCCAGCATTTACCAGAATCTTAACTTTAAATAAAAGATCAGATAACCAGTAATACTTAAATTGTTAGCACAGCTGTTTTCTAACATGGTATACAATAGGAAATATATCTCTAATGTAAATATAACAGGAGAACGTTGACTTGAGAGGCCTGTTGTACTTCAGAGCATTTTTGTCACTAGAGAAGGATGGAGAGGGAAAAAAAAACACAGAAAAAACACAGCATCAAAGGCTAATAGCCATCTGTGGGTTTATGCAGTTTTCCTACTGAGGCTCATTAATGGTTTTGTATTTTGGTGCAGTATTTTATAGGAAAAGCATATCCTTCAGCAATGGACAAGATTTACACAGACCCTAACATGGAAATGTGAGTTGAAACCCTCTAAGAATTTTACTGTGGTATAAATATTGCCCTTTAGAAGCAAAACCTTTTGTAATGCACTTCAGCATCCCTTGAATGAAATGTGTTTTCCATTGTGATGAAGACCAGGGAGTTTCTTTGGTGTCTGGTGAGGGGATTTCATGGTGGTGGATTGTCAGGAGATGAACTGACCATGGGACTGGGGGGGCAATCTGCTGAGTTTTCCAAAGCTTATCCTGGAAACCAGTGCTGAAATGATCAATCTGTTCCAAGCACATTGCTTATTTAATTTCACACTCGTAAAAATAACAGAGAAATCAATTTATTAACCTCAAAACCATGGCAGGACCATTCAGGACTCGTACCTTGGTGCAATTTTGTGCCTTCATACTGATGCCTGGAAATAGAACACAAACTTTTCCAGGCTATATAATGATAATATAAAAGCAAACCTTTACTTGGGAGCCTTCAGGTACATAATGTGGTGAAAACCAGTGCCCCAAATTAGATCCTTGAAATTGATAAGGTCAGGCAATTAGAATATCTGGTCAATATTGTCCAATGAGAAGAGCAGTTGGTTAGGCAATGTCCCTCCTGGGTTCTGCCCACCTCCGCTATCTTTATTATGCCAGTGATTGTGTGGTGCAAAATAAAAGGTCCTTGGAGAAGTACCAGGCAAGAGATAACAAAATTTTAGGAATGTGTCAATAAGGGCCTGTTCCCTGTGGGAATGAAAGGTGGGGAAGTACTGGAAGTTACACTGAGGCATTTAACAGTCTACAGAACTCCAAATACATGAAAAATACATGAAGTCAAAACTTTAAGCATTGATGCCTGTGTCCTTGATACCTGTTTCCTTTTTTGCCCTGCAGGGATAACACAGACCACATCAGAAGGAAGCAACTGTCCTCCGTGAGTAACCTGCAGCATTCCTCAGAAAACCTACAGCTGCAGCTGCACTCTCAGCTGCATGTTCTTTCAAACTTTTCTGTATTTTCTTTCAGATTTTAAAGGCTCCACGAGCTCCTCTGGATGATCTGGGAAATGGGAATGAAATTACAGAGGTAGGTCTACCAAGCCCTTTCCTACCAATCCCCCACAGTGTTTTCCTGATTCAGCTGTGTCACTCTAATAACAGAGGCGGTTTTGATGCCCCATTTCTGATACTAATATTCATACAGCACTTTTGTTTGGTTTTGTGTTTCCTGGGGAGCTGTGCCTGTCGTGGGCAGCGAGCTGTTGTGTCTTTTGTTGGCAGGACATCCATGGAGAGAGGCGCAGGAGGAGCTCGCGCAGGGTCAGCTTCGCCAGCACCATCAAGTGAGGGAGCTGCACACCCACACCCCTTCCTCAGCCAGAAATGCAGGGAGTAACATCCCTTCCCCCTGAAAGTGTCCTCACTGAGTAATCACAAATTACTGCAAGCAGCAGGAAGGTTGTTATGAGTTGGGTTGCCCTGAGAGCCATTATTCATTTTCCTGCCTGAAAAAAAGCCCCCAGTTCAGTGAAATTCATACAGTTAGGAATTTTTGTTTTCCATTCATGCATCTTAACTGTCATAATAGCACGCACATCTTCTCCTGGAAAATTACAGCTGGATTCAGTACACTTCTGTCTTTTAATATCTCATTTCAGAACATGTATAAAATATATAAATTAGTGCTGAATTTATTTTTAAATTTGCTTTTAGAGATGTTTTTGTGTTTTTAAAAGCTGGTGGTTTTGTTCTTAGCCTCAGAGTCTTCCAGCGAGATCTTAAGACCAGCACATCACAGACAGAAAATACAGGTAAAACTCCTTTTTCTGTTCCTGACAGGTTACTTTCCCCAGACTATGAGCAACAAGATTTTAGCTTGAATTTAAGAAATCAGAACTTTCCCATTGGGGAAGGAACAACATGTTCAGCTCTTTGTCCTGGCTGAAAACTCCTTAGTCACAGAGTTCTTGCCTTGAGAAGACACATCAGGAGTGAGAACTTGAGAACACTGTTTTCTGTGCACTTCACTCTTGTCTCAGACTGAGTCAGAATTGTGTGGGTTGGGCAAAACCTTTAAGATAATCAAGTACAACTGTGATCATGCTTCATGCTTCTCACATTGTGATGTTGTCATTTTCTTATTGTTAGGGTGTTCAGCAGATGAGAAGGATGATACCTTGACTAATCAGTAAGTATCATGTCTGATAGATATTTATTATTCAATGTTCACTAACAAACTTTCTCCTCAGAAACAGATAAAGTGTTAGTCTGGCCTCAAAGCTCTTGTAGATAAAGCACAATGGTGGGATCTCTAAAATTAAAAACACTTGGTGGTAAAATAACAGATAAGAAACTTTGTATGTGAGAAAGGGAATTTCACAGAACCATAGACTCTATGAAAAATAAAGAATTAATCTTTCTTGTCATTTAAAAATTAAAATACCACTGTATGTTATACAGTGGTTTGTGGCATAAGAGATAATTTCATGGGAAAGATAAGATTGTGATCAAATTAGAATATATTGAAGACAAAGCAGTGTCTGGTACCTGCTGCCCAGACCCACATGGGTTCTGCCATGGAATTCTGTGCAGCACAGTTCTCTGCCTCTTCAGTTTCTAGATCAAGGATTCCCTTAGAAACCTTTTAACAAACTTCTTTCTCAAACCCACCTTTTGTAGGAATGAAGACCCTGGGCCTGTTCCATGTGAGATCACTGGTGAGTTTGAGAAAAGATTTAATAACTAAATGACTGTTTATTTAAAGCTATTGATTATGTGTGAGAAATTTTAATGTGCCTAGAGCAATCTCCCTGCCTTGGGAGAGCTCACTCTGGATGAGCTTTGTCCCTTGGAGCTGTTTACAAGGATTCTGTTATGGAAGTCTGGGTGGCCCTTCGAGGTGCTGAAGGGAGTAATGAAAATATTTTTCAGAATATATTTGGGTTTAATTGGGTTTATTTACTCAGTGCCTTGAGCTTCAGCTCAGTGGATAAAATAATGAGCAAACAGCACAAAAACTGGAGTATTCCCTTTCTTTCCACAGGGATGAACACTCTGCTTCATGCCCCCATCCAGGCCTTGGGGCGGCAGACTGAGGTATGTGAAGACTTTAAATTTTTTGGTGCTGAGAGTACCAGTGTCCAAAATGCATCACAAGAATTTGTGTACTAAAGATTAAAAGTGTTAACTGCCTTTGTATTCACATAAAATTCGCTTGAAACTGAGTATTCTGTGTTTTGAAGTGTGTCCTAATCTGATAGTCATCAGACTGCAACATAAATGACTCTTGCTTCTGAAATTCCTTTACAACTTCTCAGTTGTGAACTAGTTCCTCCATTCTTGTCTGCTTTGCAAGCCTTCATGAGCCTCACTTACTTTTTTTGCTAATGTAAGTTTTAAAGGCAAGTTTAATAATCACATATTCATATGTTCACAATTATATTGTGCAAAAGTAAGGCCAACTAACCAGTCAGAGAAAATATAAATTCTTTAAATAATTTATTTAACTAGTTACTTTCTAATTCTGCCCTTAATTCTCTGCTAGATGCAGCAACCAGTTCTTATCATATTTGATCATCTTGATTTAGCAGTCACATTTGGAATGTGCACTCAACAAGAATTATTGTTTAAATAACTACAATTTCATGTTTGTGTAATAGTAATAGCTCTAAAGCTAATCTGCTTTGTAAGGTCCCATGTTATAGAAGTTACATTCTGCAATTTGCCAAAATCTTGCACTAACTTTAAGACTACATTTTCCTTTCAAGAAATTAATATCGTTTATATTATTACTATAAATATGTAATTATTTATCATTTTCATCTAGATGTAATAAGTAATATTTCCCTAGAAAATCATGTCCTGTCCTAAAACAATAGGATTTTTATATCTACATAAAAACTGCACAGTGTGAGTCAGTCTTGCTGTTTAATGTGTGGTTCTTGTGTTACCCACATGTGATGAGCTCAGGGTTCAATTCCCTCCACTCTGAGTGCAGTGTAGGCCACCAGGGGGATTTGATGTGGTCCCTTCCACTTCTCCTGGGTTGGTCCAAAACTCCAGGTTCTGATGAGCACCAGATCTTCTGGTTTGAAAGGATGTACAGGCCAGTCTGGTCCTAGTGATTTGCTGGTAACAGTGTACCTTTTAAAACTTACAAGAGTTAATTTTAATTATTAATTATTATATTGATTTCAGTAAAATTTTGTGGCTTCCCTTGCCTTGTTGGTGCAGCATGGGAAAGTTTCTGGCCATCTAGAGAAAGTACCAAAACGTACCAGCTCCTCATTCTGCCTGGGCAGTTCTGCAAATTCAGTTTGCCAATAATTACCTGGTAAATTCCTCTGTTTAACTGGCCTTCCTTCCTTGAGATTATTTTGCAAAACAAATTAGTTATTTTTCAGTAACTGATCTTAATTTCTGTCATCTTTGTGCTTACTGTATTCCTTTATACATTAGCTACTGTATTTTCTATTTCCTGAAGTGTTTCTTGATGGTTTTAGTTCAGTTATCTTATACATTAATTTGGAGATGCAATTACTCACCTACATGAATTTACTAATCACTTGCTGGGATTTTCCATGGCTTCCAATAGTGGGGCTGCTAACTGCCTGTCCTGGTTTGGTTTTTGTTCCCAGACATTCAACTTTTTTCTGGGTATTAGTGCAAGGACACCTTTTTCAGTAACTTCTCTTGCTGTTCTGTCAGCTAATTGATTCCCTGCATTTTAACTGGGGAGTCTCCAAACCCATGAGCTTTACAAGGACATCCTGCTGGCAGCATCCAGTGTCCTCCTTTTTGCTCCAGCTGTGCCCCAGGGGACACATATCAGCTTTTGTGCCTCTCTGTAGCCACCACTGCTCTCAGGTACCTGGGTCACCTTCCCTTGCACTGTCCAGTTGTTTGGACAGGCTCCTTCCATGACCCCAAGCACCAGCCAGTGCCCCCAGTGCCAGGTGCATCCTTTCATGCACAGATAACTCAAATGGTTTGCTTCAAGAGTGAGGCCCTCAGTGCAGGGGGTGGCATTAAGGTTCTTTCAGGGTTTTTCAGGTGCTCTGGCTCTCAAACCAAGTATTTTTGGTGGAGGGCCATGCAAGGGTTTTGCCAGTACCCCATGAGTGCAATCCATAAGTAAGTCCATAAGAAGGGCTCATAGTCCTTGGCTCTGGAGTCTGGCAAATGGCTTCTTTTCAGCTGCTTCCCAAGCTTCTTTCTTTTTCCCTGCAAGATATCAAAACTAAAATATGTTACTGCTTCTTTGCTTATTTGTGCCTCTTTCTTTGACACCCTGTATCCAGATAGTTCTAAGAAATGTAGCAGACTTACAGTAGCATTGAGTCACTTACTTTCAGTCTTGATTGCTGGCAGAATCCTTTCCAATTTTATTTGCTGTCAAGAGTGTGTACAGATTAGCTACCACTGGATGAATATCAGGAACTTTTCATTAATGATCCTTAAATCTTAAATCTATAACTGATAATACTGATGTGTTCTATTCTGATTCATATTCTTTCAATATCCTAAAAATCTTATACAAGTCTCTCCAACTTCCCTTTGCCTCAAACTTAATAGGATGTTGGTTTTGCTTTACCAATCTGGCTTCAGGTTTGAGAGTAATCCTCACCAACTTGGCCACCTTTGGTCATCCAGGCATCTCAGTTGCCCATACCAGCAGGGTCACAGCATTCTCTGCCTCCTCTGGGATTTTGTCCAACTCTTTTTAGTCCTATAACATAAAAATCTTTGCCTTGATGGCTTTTGATTCTGCTGGTTCAATTTGTATTTCCCCATCCTAGAAAGTTATTTGAACATCCAATTTTCCCAATGAATCTCTCCCCTGCAAGGGGATTGAACATTCAGGAGTATACAGACTGGTGTTTGCCCCACTGTTTTATTAATTTAAATAGTAATCATTGTAAAAAAAAGGCTTGTTCTCTTTCTTCCCTGTTGCCCCCTCAACACTTACAGGTTATGAGCTAAGTTTTCCTTTGCTCAAATTTAGTACTGAGTAAGTTGTTTCTGTATCAATTTAAAAATTTACCTTTTCATTCCCAGCAATAATGTAACCAGGGCTCAGCTGAGGATGATGCCTCTGGTTGCTTTAGGGGGATTTTTAATTTTCACTTAAGGTCTTGGGCTTGATATCTTGAAAAACCTGGTTTAGGTTCTTTCTTTGATTTGCCTGGCTTGGGGACACTCCCGTTTCCAGTGTCCCCTTTTTTTACAAATTTCCAAATACATTTCAGCTGTCAACTATCACAAAACAAAGTGCCAAACGCATTTCAGACAGTGATTATCACAATGCAAATTGCCAGATATACTTCAGCCACTAATTACCACAAGTTACTAAAGTATACTTAATACAATTAGCCAATTGTTTCTGACTGAGGGGAGTCCTGAGTCCTATTTATGGTTTCAAACATTTTAGCAGCTCTGTTTGGATTTTCCCTTTAAACTCCTGCCACCTTTCTCCATGGCATTAAATCCACTATTTAAAACAAGGCTACTGGACCATAATTCCCAACCACCTGCTGGAGGGGAGCCATCAAACTTCCCTAGCATCTCTCCCAACATCTCCTTGCTGCCTTCTAGCCTGTCCCACAATTAGATCAAAATCCTCCTATCCCCTAAAACATTCTTTCTGTTCCAGTCCACTTTTCCAAGACTCATTTATGTGTCTAACTGTATTCCCTGGTGATTCATGATTCACCCCCTTTGTTCTTTGCCACAGAGCCACCATCAGCTCTAAATAATTCTCCTCCTCTTCTTGCCTGCACTTTAAGCACTTCTTTTAACCCTTTGCCTTTCTTTTCCTTTTCAAGGAATTTCATCCCACTAATTTTCCATTCTAGGAAACAACATAAATTGCAATATTATTTCTATATATAATAATGTATTATGCTGCAAGGTTCTATCCTTAGGCCACATCTCTTGATCTTCCAGTGTATGAAGTGGCCACCACTGATTACAAACTTTTAGAAGTCCTCCTTCTTACACAATGAGCATTGAGCAGTTCTAGGCCAGTAGTTTTTGGAGAACAAGTGTTGTAATAATGCACCAGGTGTAGACAATTTATCATCTGGTTACAAATATATTAATTATGCTTGATAAAATATATCTTATTACAGTTTTCCTCCACAGCTTTCTGTGAGTGCTTTCTGTTCAAGAGACTAAAATCTCCCTTATCAGTGGTGAAAAAGTCTTTTGAAACATCCAGCATGGTGATGCTGCTTTGGAGCAGGTGGAGATAAACTGGTGGAAATAAAGGGTTTAAATCATGTTGTAGAGAAGTAGAAAATACTGATCCATAAGCCTCAGTAAGAGGTCTGTGCTTGCTAAGATGTGGTTAGATGTGAAGTGTAAGATGAGACACGTTGTTTTGTTAAATGCCATTTAAATGTTATAAATTTGCATAATTTAGTCATTGCCCTTTCCTCAAATATGTTACTGCTGATCAGGGAGGCCTGAAATTAACAGGTTGGGTTTTTTTTTAAATTATACCTATAGAGCTAAAATCTTAGGAGTTTATATTAATCAATGTTAGCTGACTTCTGTTTTAAAAAGAATAAACCACTGATCATTTGTTCTAAGTGCCAGTCACTGAATTCTCATTTTTTTGTTGTTTTTCAGTGGCATGACATGGACCATGCTGTTCCAAGGACAGACAGGCAGGACACCACCCTGCTCTTCTCGGAGGAGAATGAGATGGAGATGACAGCCAGCCACACAGCCGTGATCTCACGGAACCTCAGCACCCACCAGCCCGACAGAACTGAGAAAATAGACTTCAACTCCTTCCTGGCTAAGTTAACCTCCAGCCAGGGGAAGGCAGAAGCCAGCAAGGAGTTGAGTTTGCTCCCTGACTCCACAAACCATCCGCACCCCTCTTTGGAACAGAAGGAAGAAGCCACTCCTGTGAAAAAAATAGATTTCAATGAATTTCTGCTGAGACTGAAGTCAAACAATCCTGCTGAGAGAGCTGACAAGGACAATGTTTGCTGCGTCCCTTCCCAAGGCTCGGGAGATGTGACGCAGCTGTCTGGGGAGTTTGGCTGTTCCCAGGAGCCGCTGGACACCTTCAATGTGACAAGAGTGTTTCGAGGCAGAGAGGGTGGGATGGACATGACAAAATGTGAGGCAGCTGACGTTAAAATTCCATTCCCTGGCATCAGTGAGGTTCCAGCAGAGCAGTGGGAGTGTGGGGATGTCACCCAGGCGTTTGCAGACGAGGGCATGGACATGACAACCAGTCACACTGCAAAGGTGTCCTTTGCCCTCTCCGCTGTCGGGAACCAAAGGCTCAACTTCCAAAAGGATTTCCCACCCACGGAGTTAGATAATTCTGGGTTCAGGAGAGCATCCAATCCCAGTTTGAATGTTCAGCAGGACCCTCAGCTCTGTGCAGACAGGAAAGCAGCCAGTGCTGAAGGCAGAGGAGAGCCCCCAGTGCTGCGGGCTGGCAGGCAGGAGGCCGGGGCACTGGCTGCCATCCAGGGATCTGTTTCATCCGAGACCATCTTCCGAGGGAACAAAGCCATTGTGTTCTCCGAGTGTGATGACATGGAAATGACTGGGAATTACACAGACATCATCTATGAGGCCAGCACCACAGAACACAGCAGTTCATGCCATAAAACCTGGGAAAAGCCAGTGAGTAGAAACCCTCTGCTGGCACGTGGTGACATCCCAAAGGGTCTGGCACCTGCAGATAATCCTGCTGCTGGGCCCTATAAAAACAGTGCCCTTGAACTGCCTTCAGCCTCAGGTGGACACATGGAAAATGTGTCTCAAGCTTGTCCTGCTACAGCCAGCTCTGGGTTTGGCTCATATACACATTTTGTAGCTGGTGGTGTTCTGAAGAGCAGGTTTGATCCCTCTGCAAACCCCCAGGTTGTTTTTTCAGGTGAGAAGACAGTAATATTTGGAGGAGAAGACATGGACTTGGCTAAAACCTTTGTTAAGGATGGTGGAGAGAATGTTGATAATGAACATCCCACTGCAGTGCTCACCTCTGTCACGTGCAAACCTCATTTCCTGGGCAACAGATCCATGTCTTCCAATGTAACTGAGCAGGAAGAAATGGAAATAACAAGATGCCACACTGTTTTCTTTGATGGTCAAAGCAGTGGGATAACAGCAGAGCCAAAACAAATGCCCTGTAAAATCATTCCAAGAAAGAACCAGAACAAAAACGTCACTGAGGGTGACATATCTGTATATTCTGTAGATATGGACAAGGAAAATGTTGAAGTGAGGAATATTGATAGGAGTATTAAAAGGAGCCAGGCTATGGAGAGGAATGCTCAAGATCTTCAGATGATAATGGTTGATAAGAAGCTGGGAAAAACCAACTTCCAGGCAAGTGGTCTGAGTTCCTGTGCCAAGAGCATGTGTCTGCTGCAAGAGCAAAACAGAGGAGTCCCCGAGGACGTTGTCACTGACACTGGTGCATCCCTGTCTTTGCAAAGCCAAGAAGTTGCATCACAGCCTCTGGGAGAAAACCTTCCAAGCCCCTCAGATTTCTGCACAAATGACACAACAGGAGTGTTTTTAGGTGACCAAAGCATGGACATAACCAAAGCTCATCCTGCTGCCTTTGAGATTGCTCCTACTAACATAGAACAAGGATTTAATAATCAAAACACTGCAGTATCCAAGCAGCTGCAAAACCAGCCCTTCCCACTTTCCAGTGGTCATGGTGGGGATATCGTGAGTCAAACTGCAGCAATGGAATGTGGGGACTTGAAAATGAACACCAACAAGCAAATTGTTACTGCTTTGGCTCCAAGTGGTTCATTTGCTTTTAATAACAATCCTGCTCCCTCAGGAATGACAGGAAATGAACAGTCTGGGACAGTAATAGGAATAAATGCAGAGGGCCAAAACTCAGAGAGGCAAGAGAAACCCCAGCCTGTGAGGGCAGTAAGCAAAGTATTGCCAACCCAAGGAGACTCTGACAGACATTTTTCCATGGGTGAAACAGGTTCTTCAAGAGAGGATTTAAAAACTCCTCCCTCAGCTCCTGGGCTGCTCCAGAGGGATGCAGAAGAACCAGTGTGGGCCAGGACATCTGAGGCACCCAAGGAAAGTTCCCAGTTGTCTTTCTCTGGAGAAAAGTCTGTTGTGTTTCCCCATGGTGAAAACATGGACATGACTGGCAGCAGTGTGGTGATGGTTCCAGTTTACACCATCAGTGTTTTGCCACAAAACAAAGCAGCACCTGGATGCTTTGGTCAAGGTGGAAAGGAAACACTGTCCTTGGAAAAAGGGGTCACCACGACAACGCCGGTGGAGCAGGGCGGGCAGGAGGCTGCACGTGGCAGAAGCATCAGCTTTGCTCTGGCTGAGGACATGGAGATCACCACAATTCACACAGGGTGGCACAGACAGCCCATCCCAGCCATTCCTGCTGACAGAACCATTGTGTTTGCCCACGACCAGGAGGACATGGACATCACTGCATCCCACACTGTTGCTGTCAGTAAGAACATCTGTGGGTTTGAGGCCCAGCAGGTGCCCCACACAAACACCCAGCAGCCACCACAGCACATGCATGGGGAGCTGGTGCCCTGCAGAGGGGAAATGGATTCCTCACAATCTGCCACAAAACCTCTTCCCTCTTCTGCCTCATCAGTCTCAGCATTTCCTAGTGAGAAAGGAGCTACCCAGGTCCCCAGTGGCACAGCACCACATTCCATTTATTCTGTCTCCCTTCAGGAAAGTACTGTGGATGTGGGGGCACCACAGGATCATGGCCTTCCCACAGATAATTCTGTCCCTGTGAGCAGGGAGCAGGATCTCACACCACCAGAAAAACTGCAGTCAAAGGGAATATCTTTGGAGTTCCCAAGCAAAACAGATTTCAATGAATTTCTGCTGAGACTGAAGTCAAACAATCCTGCTGAGAGAGCTGACAAGGATTGTTTGATCCCTGTGGATCACAGGGAAGAAAGTGGCACTTTGGGATCCTGTGTTGCCTTTCCCATGCAGGGATCAGATCCTTGGAAGGCTCATCCAGATGCCCCTGGTACTCAGAGGAACCAGCTAGTGGAAGAGGATTCATCTCAGCCTGGAGAATCAGCTTTGGGCTTGGCTGGAGCAAACCTCCTTCCTGCTGCTGACAAGGAATCCAAGAAAAATGAGGAGCTGTCAGCTGAAGGGGAGGCATCTCCAAAAGATTTCCAAATAAACTCTGAACAAGCCAGGCAGCCTTTGGTCAGTGACAGTTCAGGGGATCAGACACAAGCCATTCTTCCACCAGAAGCTTCAGGAATTATAGGTGTTTGTTCAAAACTGCTGAGTTTGACAAGGAAATCTATTTCTGTTTCCAAAACTGCTTCTTCTGACCAGTTGCCCAGTTCCTCAGCTCAGCCAGAAGATACCCTGAGGTTGGGAAAAAACACTGTCAGTGAAGCAAATAACTTGTTTGAGCCCAAAAAGCAGGAGAACACAGGTCTGGAATCTGGAGCTGATCCCATAGGGATGGCACCAAAGGATAAATATCCAGGAATAAATATCCCTCTGGGTATATTCCAGCCTAAATTACCAAACAAGAGAAATCGTGTTTCCAGTGCACAGGACATAAATACAAAATCAGGCAGAGTAGAAGCCCCAGTTCCAGCCAACACCAGAGAAACCCCAGGTAACAAGTCCAGCAGGCAGAACTTCAGTCCTTTTCAGTTCGTAGCAGAAGAATTTCTCCCTGTGTGCCTGGAGGAAATGGATTCCAATGAATCTGTCAGCTCCGAACTCATGGAAAACCCTTGGGGTGATAAAAATAAAAATAAAAAACAAATTCCCCACTCTGAAAAGGATCCATTTGAAGAGACAAAAAGTTGCAACACGAAAAGAGCTTTAGGACAAACTGAGGAGGATGCTCAGAGCCCAAAGAAGGCCAAGAGGGATCAACATGTGGATGCTGGCGCCTCTCAGGACTTGGAGGTGAGCTTGGTCCCTTCATGTAAGGAAATGGGAACACCACCAGGGCTAAAGTTTTGGGGGTGTAAGTGGATCTGTTAGTAGGTGTTCTTGTTTTTCATAACCACCAGTTTGCTGTCATTTTCCTGTGTGACTCCCTGTGGTTTGGTGTGTGCAGCACTCCTGTACCAGGCAAAACAGGCAGAATGAGGGATTTGCCAATTTTAGACCATTCTCTGCATAGTATCCCTTTAATCCTTTCAAGGAACAGCCACAATAAACCACTGATCCAGTTGGGTTGTCTTATATAACTACATTAATTTATTTTTTTCAATTTGTTAATATTAGGTGACTCTTGATGTTGTGCCCCAGGACCAAGCAGAAGCTGATGAAGCTGCAGAGCCTCCAAATCTCTCAGCTAAAAGCCCTGAGTGTCCCCAGGCCAGCAGCAGCAGCTCCCTGGATTCTGTGAAGGCTGACATAGAGTCCACAAGTAAGAGACCATTTGTGATGAGAGTCCCAAACCTTGTGTTCTTTGCCCTGTAGGGATGTTATTAACCCACTAACATTTCCCCTTTCTGTTTTGTTTTCCCAGTCCAGCGCAGCAGCCAGGTGGAATCCCAGCTTCTCACGGACAGCATTTGTGAGGAAAATTTATGGGAGGTATGGACAGGGCTGGAAGACAGCAATTTCCTGTCCTAACAGGAAAAAACCTTCTGTGTTTATACACTAGTGAGCATGCTGTCTTGACAAATGGACTTACCTGTGTGTTTTTCCTCAAATGCACAGAAATTTCAGAGTGGTGCTATCACGGTTGGGGAGTTTTTTACCCTTCTTCAAGTGCATGTTGTGATCCAGAAGCCCAGGCACAGCCAGCTTCCAGCCAGTGTGAGTGGAACAATATAATTACCTTAAATAATACTCCTTTGTTGGCTTGGGGTTTAATTTGTAGCAACTCAGACATCTTTAAACAAAAAACAGAACAGATTTCCATCTCCTCACCAAATACCATCTATTCAGGATTCTGTTCTTGGATAAATATGCCAATTCTTGCTTTTTAAATTCGTTTTAAGGACAATAAATTTGAAAGAATTAGGATCTCAGTCTGACCTTTTCACTTTATCTTCTCACTGTATCTGCCAGCCACTACTGCCTGCAGCTACTCTGAGCTCCTCCTGCCTGTTCTACTCTCTCCTTTAGAAATGTTTCACTATGATATTGCTACTTTTATTTCCTCACCTAAAGAAAGGAGAAGAAATACAGAACAGAAGTCTGCCTTCTAAATCCTTTCAATTTTTATTTAAAATACTCTCCTAGCTTAGCTACAGTTTAGTTTACAAACTTATTCCTACTGAGTTGTCTCTAAGTATTCATCAGACTTAATAACACTGCTTGCTGTGGACCAGTGACTGATAAAAAACAGACACCACCCCCACAAAAGCCCCTGAAAACTTTCTCTGAAGGAGTGGAAGTAATTAATGTCAGTTATTTATGAGCTTTACTATACAGGCAGCTTGCTGAAATACACCCTTCGTATTTATTTGAGGAATAAAGCTCCATAAGGCTTCCCTAAGGCTTGGGGACTTTAATTCTGAATTAAGCATGACTTTGAATTAAGCATTGCTTTGTTGGGGAGCACTCTTTTATCTGCATAATATATAATATTTTCAAGTCTTCATCTAAAAGGGAGACCTCTTTCAGTGATATTTAATTTGATTGTTTTGAACTCTTAATGATGAGGCACATATCCCAAAAGGAAGCCTGTGCTCTGGCATGAGGAAACACAAGGTGTGAAAGCAGAATTGAAATGACTGGAAGTTACTATTTCTGAAAAATATGGATTTTTTTTTTCTTTTTCCTCCTACTTTTCCCTGTGTTTTCCCTCAGTGTGCAGTGAGTGCACCTCCCACTGCAGAAGATCTCATCCACAGCCAGTACGTTCACCGGCCCAAGCTGAGGATTTATGAGGAGGATTGCCAGGACCTGTCTCAGATAATAGTGGAGTGAGTGCTTTTCCAGTCACACAGTTTATCAGTAATTCCATTTTTTTCAGATCTGGGTGCATGGAAATGGCCTGAAGAAAGTTAGTACATTACATAAAGGAAAAGTAAAAATATAGTTAGTAGTTTGTTACAGATTTAGAAATGAATTGTGTAAATATCACCATGCTGCTTTATGTGGTCAGTGAAATTGCTGCAAGACTTTCAACTTTTTTTTCCCCTATATTTCAGGTTAAAACCACATGTGAGTGTCCTGGATCAGCCCCTGGTGAATGTGACCAGGACTTTGTGGGAAGTAATGAGAACCTGCACTGATGAAGAGGTAATGCTGCATGGAGAGAATGTTTGTGTGTAATGAAGAAGTGAGGTTAATTGATTTATTCACATCTCATAAGAACCAGAATGGTCACAAAATAACAGCAGGTGAAACAAGGCAAAATATTTTCTCAATGGAAACCTGCTGAGAACTTACAGCATGTCAGGAGAATGCAAGGAAATGTGTCCTTTGAAATATATTAAAGGGGGAAAAAATTACTCTCAGTTACTGCATAGAAAACCCAGAAAAAATATAATATTTACAAGAATTGAGATCAAGGTGGATCAAGAGATTTTGTTTTCTGTGGTTCTAATGCCAAGAATAAAGATCTATTCCTTGAAAATAAAGTCTAAATTGTTTAGAGACACAGTATTTTTCATAATTCATTGTTAGTTTGGCATGGGGATGTCACTGAGGTTGGGTGCTGAGCGAGTCAGGAAGGATTAAATTTCCATTCACTTTCTCCTCTGTATTTCCCATTCATCACAGCTGAGTAAGTTTGGAGCAGAACTGAACAAGATGAAGTCCTGTTTCACCAAGGAGGCTAAAATCTTTTCTCACAATGAGAAGGAGACATTGTACAGGAAACTGCTGCAGAGTGCTGAGGTAAGGAGCCACAGGGCTGCAGGCATTTACCTTTAAAAAACCACTTCTACCACATTTCTTGTCTTTAAATGTGTAGGAGTTTAATTATTATAGTGTGTACTCAGATGGAAGTTTCTTTCTTATGAATACATTTGCCTTTTATTTATATGCAAATATAACACTGGGACAGTGACATTCTTGCAGTTACACTGTAGGAACATTCTGCCTAAGAGTTTTGGTGATTAGCAGAGTGAAAAATGGGAGCATTAAAGGAACCACCACCACAAATGAGCTCTTAATATTGTAGCAAGACCAGTGTTAGTAAGTAGGTAAGTAGTAGTAGCAAGTATTTAGGAAGAAGTTCTCCCCTGTGAGGGTGCTGAGGCCCTGGCACAGGTTTGCCCAGAGAAGCTGTGGCTGCCCCTGGATCCCTGGAAGTGTCCAAGGCCAGGCTGGATGGGGCTTGGAGCAAGCTGGGATAGTGGAAGGTGTCCCTGCCCATGGCAGGGGGTTGGAATTGGATGAGCTTTACAATCCTTTCCAATCCAAACCATTCAGGGGTTCTCTGATAAGTAACAAGGAAGTGCACAAGTAATGCATTGTGCCAGGGATCAAAGATGTGTATGTATCAAAGCTCTAGATTCTGTAAGCATTTGGTAATTTCTTATTATTGGCTGTTCCCCCACGGTTTGTCAGTTGCCTCTTCCCTCTAATGACGACACATTTCACAAACTGCTTTAATTAATTAGCTAACAAAGAGCCCCATGGTGATCCCAGAAAAAATTCAGCTTTTACAATAATATCATTGACTCAAGTACAATTTTCCCATCTTAGGAGCAATACAGAAAGCTCCAATCAAGAATAGAAAAGGTGGATGAATGGGTGAAGGAGGCAGAGAGCTCCGTGGTGGCTCTGGAATCAGGTATGTGTTCCCAAAGAGCTGGCCAGTATGCTGCTTTCTCTTTTTTCTGCACAGCTGCTGTTCAAAAGGTCAGTTTGGGGTTGTTTGATACAAGCTGCAGTCAGAACTTGGCATTACTGTGTCATGATGCTCTGTAGTTTCAATTCTTTTTCTCCAATGCCTTGAGTAGAAATCAAATTGCACAGTTGCAGCTCTAAAACAGTGCAATAAAAAAAAATCTTCCTTGTTGTTAACTCTTTTGAGGTTTTTGGTAGATACTTTTCCATGTTTTTGTATATTTTTTAAGTTGACTTTGAAGTGCTGAGATTTCTAGAGACCACAAACAAAGAAAACTCTAAGTATTGAATCTGGAGGTTCTGCCCAGAGCTGACACTTCTTTCCCACAGATTCTTTTTGGGATGCAAAGGAAGCTGGCTGCAGTGCTGGAACATCAGGAGGGCAGAATGTGCAGGAAGGTAAGGGAACCAGCTGAATGCACTTTTTGTCTGGTGTTTTAGAGCCTGGGGAGGGTGATAGGGTGATGCTCACCCCCCACCCTGATGCATTAACTCTGAGAGGGATGCAGACACTGCTGCTGTCTTTGCTGCTTTGCACATGGCTAGTTACATAGGTGTTAGAGAATGAAAAGGACTGGTTTCTCCCTGGAAAAAGGGAATTTAGAATTGTTTACCTGAAGTGCATGTGCTCATTATCATATTCAGCACTTTATTAGCTCCATAAGAACAGTGAGTGCACAGCAAATTAGGGCTGCCTGTGCTGCTCTTTTCTCTCATTTTTTTCCTTTTCTCTCCTTTTTCTCTTTGCTTTAGAATTGCAAAACATCACAGCCCAAGAGGAGGAACTTCTGAGGTAAGATGTCAAGGAGGATTTAGGAATCAGCTGCACACTCAGATTTCAGAGGGTTGGTCTGTTTGTTAAGCACTGTATCACATCCCATGATGGTTTATCCTTGCAGAGAACTGTCACAGATGGATGCTGAAGATGAGCTTGATTTGGCTGAGATGGAGAAGCTCAAGAAGACTGAAAGGGCCTGCCGGGAAATCCTGGAGAAATATGAGTAAGGAAAACACCTCCAGGTTTTATTTTTTAATAGCTGTTTCTGGGGGCTCATATTTGTACTGGAGTGTATTTGGGTTTGGTTTTCCTTGTTATTTGATGGGGGAAATCTTGGAATGCCCATCTCCTTGCAGCCTAAGGTAGGCAATAAAGCCTTGGAGGACTTCCATGTGTGAGGCAGTTATTCAGTTAACAGCTTTGCAGTGCTACTCTGTGTTCAGGGTTTCTACATCCAACTCTCCTTCAATCACCAAACTGACATTCACATAAAATTTATAGCAATATGCTTGCATTCCCAAGAGACCCTTATATTCTGTTGGAATTAAAGACTCTGTTTGGCTTTGGACAATTTCATTGCTGTATGATGTAGAAAGAGCTGCAAGAGCATATAATACTCTGATGTTTGTCCCTCAGAAGTTGTTTGGGTTTGTTGGTTGAAACTTGGGGTGATGGTGGATTTTTTTTTTCCCCCTTTTCAGCTTCACTGAGTGGGAGCTGACAGAATGGAGTGAGCAGCAAGCTGTCTTTAATTTCCTTTATGATTCTCTGATACTCACAGTTGTGTTTGGACCCCCAATAGGTGAGTCACAAAATAAGTAGGTTGATGTTTTGTGAATTTGCAATGTTAGAGAATAGAAACCTAAAATGTCCATATTTGTAAAGATCTGCTGAAAGGAAGTAGGAAATAGAATGCATACTACAGTGTGTAAGCTGAGAGAAGTGGCTTTTCATGTGAAAATTCAGAAATTTATGTCATGCATGGCTGTTTCTGAAGGTGAGGAGAGCTGTAACTCCAGAACTAAGCATGGAAATAATTGGATTTTTTTTTAATTTCCTTTCTCAGATGATGAGGTTTTCGCTGCATATCCTTCCAGGAGCATCGCGAGCCTGGACTTTGAATCTTTCCTGGATGGTGAGATTTCTGAATATTGTGAAAGCAGCAGCCCTGCTAATCTTTTGTTGGGAAGACTAAATGTGTGCTCCATCTCCTAATGCTTAATGAAATGTCTTTTCAAAGATTTCTGGTTTTCTTTTGTGTTGCAGAGGAACAAGCTCCACCCTCCTCATGTTTAGTCCAAAAACTCATCTTCCAGTTTATTGAAAGTCAGGGATGCTGGCAGAGGAAGTGTCCCAAACTGTGCTACTTGCCCCAGGTAACATTCCAGGGAAACTTAGAAGATTCTGAAAAAAAATCCAACAGAGAAAATAGAGCTGAGCTGAGAAGCAAAGCACCTTAATGAAAGCTTCAGGAATCCAAACCAAAATCTGCTTCAGGAATATTTTGAGGTGTGAGGGGAAATATCTGTCTCTGAAGGCAGGAGTCCTAAAAGCTGAAGTTTATTTAGAAAACTTTTTTTTTGCCTTCAAAAAAAAAAAAAATTGAGCTGAAGGTCATTTTGCCTCCTGAAGAACGTAGGTTTAAATTGCCAAGCCAAACTTTTGTGTTGCTGTGTGGCTGTTGGCAAAGCTGAAAGGACAAATTTAAAGCAAAAAATGTGCATTTGTTATACTTGTACAATTTCATTTTTCCACCCAAACTGAGATAGCAGTTAAACCACGTTTATTTTTTATGCTTTCTAGGATGAGGTATGTGTTCAGGCATCACATGGTCACCCCCTGAGTGCTGATGTTCCTTTCTGATTTATCCCCCAGGCTCTCTTTGACATCTCCTTGGTGGTGAGTCGCTGCAGAATCTTGGGAGATGAGTTGGATTTTCTGCAGAGGTGGGGAGCAAAATTCCAGCTCCTGGAGACAGATATCAAAGACACAGAGTGAGTAAATTCAGAAAATCCTGGTGGGATTGTTGGGGTGTCCTGTGCAGGGCCAGGAGCTGGACTTTGATGATCCTTGTGTGGGTCCAATAAGATGGAGTTCACAGCAGCCTTAAGAGGGAGTTTCTAGATAATCCAAAGCAAAACACTGAAATAGTTCCCATTTGGTTTTCTTAAAAGTGACATTTTATGCTGCTGTTTTTTAACAACAATTTAATTTATCTTCATACAATTGCACTGTAGTGTCCCAGTGCATGGAAATTAGGCTGTTCATGGATTCATTGATTTTAGGACTATCAGACAGCCTCTCCTTCCTTGCTGTTTTCCTGCTTGACTTGCCTTTCTTAAATGTTGAGGCCAAATTGTAGCAGTGCAAAGGAAACAGAGCCAAGGGTTTACCTGTAGCTGAGGGCTTTGTTTCCTTTAATCTTGTGTTTGCCTCAGGCAAGCAGAATCAGTCATGGAAGGAGGGATGCACTGAAACTGAAGTTTACTTTCTTTACTTTCCATTTCCCCTTGCTACTTCCCAGTTTTGTGGCATGCCCCAGTGGTACAACACAAATACAATTTCACCTCATCCTTCCATTGCTGATCCATATCTTTAATTAAAAAGTGCCCAATTATAAACTTGCTCTGCCCACCTTGGTGCTGTTTCAGAGGTTATTCTAATTTTGTAGCTTCCTTTGCAAGAGCACAAAAAACCCCCATGGATCTGGAGGTAAATCAGTCCAACTTCAAGCATTAGAAAACCTTAACTGCCTGGGAATGTTTCATGTTAACTAGAAAATATGTTTTCAGTCTCTATTCTGCCCTGATTTCTGGATAGTTCTGTGAATTATGTGTACATTAACTTTTCCTGTGGGGGAAGTTGGGGGTTTACATTCTGAAGTGTTGATAAAGTGTGAAGAGTCTTTTTTATCTTGTTCCTGAAGTTCCTGTCTGTGCTAGAACTCTTTAGAAGTTACTGTGCTTGTTGCATCAGTGACATCACTTATTATTGCATCACTTATCACTTATTTCTGCTCCTGGCACTGATTCCAAGGTGGAAGCAGCCCATGTGACTGTTTTGCATGGATCTTTGTGTTTATTTCCACAGGGTGAAGCTTCTGTTCTCCTCTTCAGTGGCTTTTGCCAAGTTTGAGTTGACTCTGGCTCTCTCTCATGATTACCCAGCTGCTGTGCCTCCCTTCAGGGTCCACACCCACATTGGGGATATCGGGTGAGCTGGCAGAGCTGTGACTCCTTCCCAAAGCTGGGATGGGGGATTGAGCCCTCAGGATCCTCTCCAACATGTGTGATAATTTTATCTTCCCCAGGGAGAAGGAAGTTGCTGCTGTTCTCTCCAGAGTTCCAGTTGGCCACCACTATCTAAAGAGAGCAGTCACCTCCATCCATCAGAATCTGCTCCAGGCTCCCAGATGATCTGCTGCACCCACAGGCAGGACTGAAGCAGTCAGAATGGGTGCTCTGTGAGTTTGCTCTTAGGAGAATTCCAGCTGTGTCTCCCTGGAATGGGAATGCTGACACCCACTCAGCTCTAGAATTCCTGCCTATTTGGTGTCCTTGTGGCTTAGACCAAGTAGAACCCTTGGTGTAGGCCACAGGTTTCACAAGGGCTGGGGTGTCTGAAGAGGAGAAGAAGGAAATTCCTAGATCCCTGCTAAGTTCAAGGTGGTTTTTATCTTCTGCCAGTCACTGGTGGTCATTCCTGGCACAGTCAGTCATGATTGGATAGCCATTCCAAGCATGGATATTCTTCTGCCATACCTCATTAATTTTGTCATTTACAGAGCACTTGGAAAAAGCAATGATGAGCATTCTCTAAATTATTACAATTGGAGTTTAATTCTGCTGTCATTATTCCACTACCACGTACAATTTAACAGATCCCACCACATCTGGTGTTTATCCATTGCCTGGCACCCCTCCCAGGCCAGACACTATCCCTGCATCTGATTAATTAACCAGTTAACCTGTAGCAATTCACCCCAGAAACCAAAGTCAGAAATATTTTTGGAATTAAGGCTAAAAATCCCTGTGCTTGCCCACAGACTTTGAGATGCAACAGCCTCAGCGCCATCACTGTGATTCCCTGGCAGAAGTCAGTTCTTTATTCATTGCCTTAGTCCAGCACAATCCCTGGGTGCTGGGGCACTGTCCCAGTTTGGAATGCCATGGAATTTTAGTGAGGAGACTGAACTCCTTAAACTTGGGAGTATCTGTGAGCTCTAGCTTGGTTTTGTGTATAATTTTGTGTATTATGTGGGTCTTGCTGTTGGAACTGATCTCACCCTGTGTTACTGAGCCCAAGCACCAGCCCTGGCTCAGCTCTCAGTTCTGCAGCTGCAAATCTTTGTACCCTGTAAAATATGTTGAATTTAAAAATGTTTTCCTGTATTTTAGTGTTTATATATTTTGTCTTTTTCCAAAGTTTGTGTCTGTTTGAAAAGTGGAAGTTTAATAAAGATTGGATTTATCACTCTTCCTGTTTCAAATGGGGATTATGGGCTGCTCTATTTAAACTGGTGATTGAAAATTCAATACTAAATTAAATTCAAAATATTGAAATAATTATGTTAAATACTTGGGAAGGCTTTTCACAATATCTTTTTTTTCTTTGCCTTTTCTAGTGCTACTTTTCTATGTCCTGGCTTTTCACAAGAATTTATTGTATTTTAATTAGGAAGATAGCACCCAAATCATTCTCAATTTAGGTACCATAGCTGGAATTTGGAATTTCCCCAGGCCATTCTCTGTGCATCAGGAACTAGCAGAGAGTGCTGTGGCAGTTCTCCAGGAGCATTATCCACCTCTCTTTTTTTTATTATTTTTTAGCTTGTTTTCTTTTCTTTCAGTAGATTTACACACTAAAGCATCAATAACTAAAGACTCAAGCGAGTTTTTGGTGGAGTTTATTATATTGCTCCAAATATTAAATCAAAGCAGCAGGTAAAGCCACACATTTGTAGTAAGAAAGGGAGCTTAGGCAGAAATTATTCCATTATCCAGCTTTAAAAAATCATGGAAAACTTCACTTCCATGTGCCAGGAATCAGCGGCTCCACTCTGTGCAAGGCCTCAAGGCACCGGGATTCCATCAAAGTCAAGGGATGGAGCTTCCAGTGCGGAACTGCAACCTCTGCTCCAGATGTGTCTCCATCTCCAGCTGCTTGTTCTTGGGTTCTGAGGAATTGTCACTGCGCAGGAATTGCGTGGGCTGCTGGATTCATGGGGGCACGGGGTCGTGCTTCAAAAGGGAAAAGAAAAGAGAAAGTAAGAGAAAATAATGGCAAGGAGAGAGAAGCAAAAGGAGAGAAGAGATACATGGAAAAGGGGGGGGGGGGGAAGAAAAGAACGGCAAAAAGGGGAAAGGGAGAAGGAAAAGAAAAATGGAAAAAGGAAACAAAAGGGAAGACAAGAAAGAGAGAGGAGGGAAAGGGGATTAGAAAGGAAGGGCGCGGTGCCCCGGGGCTGCTGCCCCCGATCCCGCTCCCGGTCCCCGCCCGTTCCCGGTCCCGTTCCCGCGCTCCCCTTTAAGGCGCTGCCGGTGGCGGGGCGGCGCCTGCGCGGGGCGGTCACGTGAGGCGGCGGCGGGAGCGCCCGAACGGCCGGAGCGGGGCCGCGGTGAGGGACGGGGACGGGGACGGGAACCGGGACGGGAACGGGCCCGGGGTGCGATGGGATGGGCTGAGCTGAGGCCGGCGGGACAGGCCCGGGGCAGCCGGACCCCCGGCGCCTCTCGGGGCCCCCCGGCGCTGCCCGGTGCGGGAGCCTGAGGGCGTTGGCGGCGGGGCTGGGCAGGCCGTCAGCTGTGGGCAGCCATGGGGGGCGGTACACAAAGGGCTGGGGCTGAGCACGGTGAGGGGACACGGCCTGGGGGGCCGGGCATCGCCGGCGGGCGGCACCTGGGAGGTGCTGCTGCCGGGCCCCCGGTAAAGTTGGGATGGTGGAATGCCGGAATGGCCGTGAATTCCACCCTCTGCCATGGGCAGCGACACCTTCCGCTATCCCAGCTTGCTCCCAGCCCCGTCCAGCCAGGCCTTGGTCACTTCCAGGAACAGCCACAGCTTTTCTGTGCCAAAGCCTCAGCGCCCTCGCAGGGAAGAATTTCTTCCCGGTTTTCAATGTAAATTTCCCCTCTGTCAGTTTGAATCCATTCCCACTTGTCCTGTCATTATTATATTCAAATTGTGTGTTACATCCCAGGTGTGTGAATTCCCTTGTATCCTTCAGTTTCCCCTGACAGCTCCTGCCTGCCATCCTGCTCAGCAATCCCAGGCGTGCTGCAGATCCTCTGCAGGGACTTCCAGCCCTTTCCAAGGTGTTTGTGGCAGCCCCAAGGGCAAGTTCTGGGGCACAGCCCAGCCCAAACATCAGGGGCCAGTTCAGAGGGCTTTTACAGCTTTAAGAACTCCATTATTCTGATTTATGTGACCACATAACTTACTGCTAAAAGGGAGCACTGACAAGTCTGGTTCCTTCCAGGGGCTGTCCTGGTCCCTCGCTGCCATGGCCATGCAGATGCAGCTGGAGACCAGCGCAGACACCTCAGCAGAGGAGGAGAGCTTTGGGCCACAGCTCATATCCAGATTGGAGGTAGGTGAGGAGTTACCTCTGCAGGAAGTTTTCCATAGATGCACTCACTGCTCTTTTTCCTAGAATGGAATCCTGTGATGGTTTGGGTTGGAAGGAACCTTAAAAGCTCATCCCATTCCATCCCCTGCCATGGGCAGGGACACCTTTCACTACCCCAGGTTGCTCCCAACCCCATCCATCCTGGACTTGAGCATTTCCAGGCTCTCCACCAGGGCCTCACCACCTCCACAGGGAAGAATTCCTTACTAATACCCAACCTAAACCTTTTTATTTAAAAGCAAGGTGAAACCAAAAACTCTGTTGCTAAATTCTTACTTGTGTTCTGTTAAAAAAACCCAACCAAACAAAAAACTCGGAAATACCCAAAAATACCAACAGGTGTAATTTTTCCTCTCTCTTTCCCAGCAATGTGGCATAAATGCCAATGATGTGAAGAAGCTGGAAGAAGCTGGGTTTCACACAGTGGAGGCCGTGGCTTATGCTCCAAAGAAGGAGCTGCTGAACATTAAAGGCATCAGCGAAGCCAAAGCCGACAAAATCTTGGTAAGGATGCCCTGGAACCTTAACCCAAGATATTCCACAGGTTTATTTCTGCTGGCTGAAAGTGTTGTGGTGAATTTGGAAGGTGTCCAAAGGGCAGTAAGGGGTGATTAGAGGTGTGAATTGACTTGTGATGGGAAAAGGCAAAACGCACCAGGACAGGACTGAACTGAACAAGGTGGGGACGAGGGGAGGATATTTTCATAAAACACACAAAAGGGATGTTGGAGCTTTTTCTTGGAGCAGAATTTCAGTTCTGTTCAGAGGTACCAACTAGTGCAAGGTCTATGAAATGTGCATGGAATGATACAGGCACCTCTCCACAAGGCAGAAAATATTAATTACTGGGGGATTAACAAATGGCATTAACTCCTCTGGCACTGCTCAACTGGGTTTTCCCTCAGGCTGAGGCAGCCAAACTGGTTCCCATGGGCTTCACCACGGCCACAGAATTCCACCAGCGGCGGTCGGAGATCATCCAGATCACCACTGGCTCCAAAGAGCTGGATAAGCTGCTCCAAGGTCAGCATTTTATTGTTTCTCTTCCCTGCTTAACCTCACTTATTGGGATGGGGTTTTCCCATGAACCATGTAAGGCAAGTCCTGGTTGGATGAAAAACCTCTAGGACTGCTCTTGAATAATTGCTTTTATTTTAGAAGCTGCAGAAATGTTTTTTAGTCCTTTTTAGTCATGATGCAAGACCCAGAGCTGTCTGGTTTTGGATGTTTCTGTTTTATTTAAGTCCATGATGCATTTAGGGAAAACAAAACCAGGCGTCACCATCTCCCCATTCCTTTAGTAATCCGAAAATGAGAACAAGTAATTTCAGCTCTTCAGCATCTTCAAAAACACCCATGAACTTCTTAACCACAGCATGAACAAACCTCATGATGACAAGCAATTTTCCCTCTTAATTTGAAACTTTCAGCCAAATTCAGTGTTTAACTGAGTCTCTGTAAATGTAATATTTTAAGTGTGAGATAGATCCATAGATAAATAAATCATACATGTGGCATGTGACCTTTTGATCTTTATTAATAATCATCATTGTTATTTTCCCTTCAGGAGGAATAGAAACAGGATCCATAACAGAATTATTCGGGGAGTTCCGTACCGGGAAGACACAGCTGTGTCACACCCTGGCTGTCACCTGTCAGGTGGGGGTTCACCTCATTATAATCCAATACTCAGACCTCACAGCCTTGGGATATTTGCTAATTTGGGCACCTCCTTTTATTTTCCAAGTGTTTATTGCTGTCTAGAAGTTTTATTCCCTAAAATATTAGAGGCTTGGACTTAATTTGATCGTTGAGTTGACTCCGTGAACTTCCCATCTCAGAGCTGAGCACCTGTCATCTTGTGTAGAGTCATGGAATGCTGGAATGGTTTGGGTGGGAAGGGACCTTAAAGCCCGTCCAGCTCCTTTGGCAGGGACACCTCCCACTGTCCCAGCTTGCTCCAGGCCCCATCCAGCCTGGCCTTGGACACTCCCAGGGATCCAGGGGCAGCCACAGCTGCTCTGGGCACCCTGTGCCAGGGCCTCAGCACCCTCACAGGGAAGAATTTCTTCCCAATATCTCATTTATCCCTGCCCTGTGTTAGTGGGAAATCATTCCCCCTTGTGCTGGCACTCCAGGGTGACAGAGACTACAAAAGGAAGGTGTCAGCAGCGATGGGGACCAGGGATCTTTCACTTTTCCCAGCTAAATGGGACTTTAACCACAATAACTTGGGATGTTATTTGTTGTATGAGCTCAGTGAGGGCATGTGGCAGTATCTGCTGTATTTATGGATGCTTTATTCCCTGTTCATTCCTTTCCTTCTCCTTTAGCTCCCCATAGACCGCGGTGGTGGCGAGGGCAAGGCCATGTACATCGACACGGAGGGGACCTTCCGTCCAGAGCGGCTCCTGGCCGTGGCTGAAAGGTCAGTGGGTGGGAGACAGCAAGAGATGCACTCACAACTCAGCTGGAAAATGTTTTCCACAGGTCCTGGAGGTTGATTTGGCAGGTGTTCCCTTTGGAAAGCTCTAGTGTTGCCATTCCTCTCCTCTCCCTGCCAGTCGCTCCCCATGTCATTGTCCCTTGGCATGAGGTGGTTTCCCTGTCTTTTGCTACTGGAAGGGACTGGGAGCTTCCCAAGCAGCTGGGGACAGGACTGGCTGGATCCTGTTTGCTCTTTCTGAAGGGAATTTGATCTAACCCTGCTGGCTTCTCCCGCAGCAAGGACTGCTCCCGGGTTCCTTGTCACCAGGGAATATTTAGCAGCCAAACAAAGGAGAGGAAGTGAAATGGTGTTTGTAGCAGGCACA